CCGCCGAATAAAACATAGATTGAAGACATGAGTGAAAGCAAATGTGTGCATTATTTTTGCCATGTATATTTCATGTGTATGACCACATTCTAGAATAAACACAGACAATAAAAGAACTTAAAGAGACTCCCCTCCCCCGCACTCTTATTTAGTGTTTCGGATTGAAACACAGCTGGATAACTTCGTAACTGTTGTTTCTACCCTGGGTAGTGAATCGCGTGCAGGACGGCTTTAACAATTATTTACATGGATTACAGATACCAGAGTAGTCCAGACCATAGCACAGAAGAATATGATGAAGCACTGTAGGCACAGCAGGCTTTTCATACTTACATTAGTTACACCTTCTCAAATTCTCTTCTATTCAAATTAGGACAGCAGAGCTTTAGCACACCCACATAACAAAAAAAAAAAAAAAAAAGCATAAACAACCTTTCTCTGACAGAGCAGATCAAAACATCCAAATGAAAACTTTCACATCTGAAAGTCAATCACAACTGATTATGTATAATAATGGTACATGAAGCATGGAGTCTACTAAGCACAGTAAAGCCCGCACCACATTCATTCTCTCCATCCTTTATGAAGAGACTAAACGGACTTCCATAGAACAACAACAACCACAGTCCCATTTAGCTTCTCAGAGCTGCCAATCTTGACTGCATCTCCTCAATGTCCTCTTCTGATTCATCTGAAGCTGCAGCTGCAGCTCCAGCAGGCTCAACCTCAGGCAGGGCATCGTTGACTTTGCTTGGTGCGTTGCCAAGGGCACCTGAATAAAACAAACACAATCATGATTCAGTATAAATAATTTGCAGCGCAATCTAACATGCTGTATTTCAAATTTGCTCTAATTATTTTCTGATTAATTCTGTCTGTCCACTATATGGCAATTGTATTTCTAAATTTTCATGAAACATTTTGACACCTTCTGTATCTTTACTATGAATATATAAGTTGGGTCAGCATGGCTTCTACATATCACACTAAACATGCAAGTCAATTTTTAAGCATACAGAGAACACCCTTTTATAAAACGTGGTGTGGCTGTTAGTAGTTACACATGCAACTACACTACACTTTGTTTTGAATGGAATAAACATTTAAAAAAATAAAAACAGCTTTTAGGTTGAAAATAAAATAAAAAAACAGCTTTTAGGTTGAAAATAAAACTTATCTTAGAACAGAAAAACTATAAAATTACCTGCTGTGATCTCATAGAGAATCTTGTCAACTTCTGCCTCTGCTGCTTCCTCCATGTCATCTTGATCTTCCATGCTCTCAAATGTGTCTTCCAACATTTCCTCAATAATGCCAGCCTGAAATAGAAATATAATGAGAGTGGTAAGATAAATTTTTTGATAACCACTTGAAGGGGTGAATTTATTTAGATTAAGTTCAATAAAAATAGCATCTTTGTTTTCCGGATGCTGCTGCTGACCTTCATCATCTCCTTTGACAGCTCTCTCATGGTGGCCTGGATCTCTGGGACTTTCACCAGGTTCTGCATGGCTTTCATGACCTCGGTGCTCTGCTGAAGAGACCCGGCTACACGCAGTAAAGCTACACATGCACAAATACATTAATATTGTTCTGATGGAAATACATTTTGTTATTCAGATCACCCTCTGTCCAATGACTCACCTAGCTGATTCTTCATACTGAGTTGCACAGAGTTCATGTGTGCTTTAGAAGCATAGAGTTTAGTGACAGCTCGTTTTGACTGAATCATCTCCTTGGCAAGGATGACACACACATCCTTTTGGCCTTTTTTTGCGGCATCTTTGATGGACCGTTTAACTTTTTCCTCTTCCATTTGAATAGCTATAATACAAATGCATAGTCACATCACAACAATAATAATAACACAAATAATGCTTATTACTAATATATTTATTTACCGTTTACTGTGTCAGGTTAACCAGTAGACATAGATATTCCATTAAATACTGGTATGTCAGTATTTAATAAATCATATTTTACTGTACTTTCTCTAAAATACAATTACCCACCTCCCTCCCCCAATATTGTTATAATTGAATAAACTTGTGTTGTAGGATTTCTGACTGTATTTTACCTCTAATCTGTCTGTCAATCACTCTCATCTCCTTTCTGATTTTGTGAGACCACTCTTGAACCTGCAATGACAAACTTTATTATAACAATACTGTAACAATACTCCTTTAGTGACGATCTGTGTCTGCTGTTCATTTTAAGACACTGAAAACAAAACGCGAGATCATGGCAGCGTAGATTCCATATAGTGTAACAACAGGTGGGGTGCGAACGAATCAGGGTTTGTTTACATTAACTTGTCACCTTTAAAGAAATGGAGTAAACGACAAATAATGCCACAGGCGGCCTCCTCGTGTGGTGCATAAACAACCAAGAAACATCAAATATAACTATTAGAAGCAGCATACCTCCACGGGGACTCCTTAGTCATCACTAGAATATTTGTAGCCGTCCTATTAGCATAAGTAGCGACACACGAGCTAACGTTAGCAATGTAATCTAAAGGTACTATGGACAAAATAGACAAAGACAGTCCTGGACTTCCGCCGCCGATACTCACCAGGTCTTTTGGTGGTTTCTCGGGGGTTCTGCCGAACAGTCCCATTCTGTCTTTACCGATTAAAAACGAACGTAACCTAGCTGAAGCTAAGTGGTTAGCTCTGTTTATTTATTAGCACTTCCTGATTTATCTTCGGCAGAAGACCAGCAAGTCTACTTCGCGATTTACTGCTACAGGGTATTTACGGCCTTCAGGGTTGGCTGCCATCTAGCGCTCAGCAACGGATTTGAAGAGCAAAGTTTAAAAATACTGAAAACATATATATATATATATATATATTTTTTTTTTTTTTTTCTCCGTCAGGGTTTGGAAAGAGAGGTGGTGCAGATTATCATGAGGATCACATAACATATACAATATAATATAAAACATTAACATGCTGTAAATAAACATTACCAGCATTCCTCTAAGTATGTGCTGTAACAAAACAAATAGCTTTAAGTTGTCATTAAAACCAAAACATATTTTACTAATTATCGGAAAGATAACGCGGCTTTACCTTTGCCTTTTTAACAGAAGGTTGTATAAGTCAGTATTTCCACAAAGATGAAAATGTTGCTATAAAACATTAATAGTGCCTAACGAGAAGCCAGCTTTTTTTAACTCTGCAATTTTATTGACCTTTATATATACATGTATATAAAGGTCAATAAAATAAGTATAATAATAATAATACAAGTAATAAGTATAAGGTATATACACATATATTTTATGTGTGTGTGTGTATATACCTTATAGAGTGGGCGTTAAAGTTGCTTCAGAGAAATGTTAACTGTTGTTATATACCGCAATAATTTTATTTATAGTCGTGGCAATCCTTTTAAGATCGTTTTTTGTTTGTTTGGTTTTTTTATTGATGCAGAATAAAAAAAGCTATTACTTGTCAGGCTAAACTGAGTGCAAAACATACAGCCACAGACGGCCAGTTCAGTTTATGACGTAGTCTATGCTCTTCCTTCTAGATACTTCTGTTATCGACTGGTTGTTAGACTAATCGTTTTAGCACATAGGTACGACGTGACCAATCAGAGCGGAACGTGGGCGGGCTTAGTGAGCATCGCTCTGTCAGAGCGGAGCGGCTGGATGACGTTCGAGCACCGGAGAAGTGGGAGAATCCGCTCTGGACATCACTGCTTTCCCCGGATTACTCTGAATGAGTTTGCTATAAACGGCTAGAGTTACATAACAGCTAGTAATTCACAGAGCTAGCCTGTCTCGTATACAACTGCAAGGCGAAGCATACGCCGAATTACATGTTATCTCGGAATAGGCATCGACCGTTGTGTGCATTTACGTCTGGGTGTCAAGTGCGTGTGTTGCGGAGCAGAAGTTCCAGAAGGTTACTTAAAGAGCATCCATCATGTCAGTAGTAGGCATAGACTTGGGTTTCCAGAATTGTTACATCGCGGTGGCCAGGAGTGGTGGCATTGAAACCATCGCCAATGAGTACAGTGACAGATGCACGCCGTGAGTACACTAACTGTGACAGACATCAGCCTCTTGTGTTGTGATATTGTAAATGCGTTTACGCCATGTTTGCGTCTGGGGAGCTCAC